TGGATTTGTAGTGACAAATTGAGTGTCCATCCCTTGTAAGCCTCAGAGTGGAATCTGTCTCCTGCTGCATAAATTTCAAACTCAAGATTTGTCCTGAGAGAAGCTTCAGTTTTTAATCTACTCTTCTTAAACTGCCCATAGCACTGTGTTTATAACACACCAATCTGATCAACTACAAGATAGTATCTTGCCTACACTTGAGGAAGAAAAGAAATCCCACCCCTTCCCCAACAGGCTTGCTGGATATTACAGGCTTGTTGCATTTTCCATACAACTAGAAACAAGAGGTATTCCTGGGAATGTTTAACATGCAACATGTTTGGTTGGTAGCAGCTGGACTGGGAATCATGAGATGGATTCTCTTCCCTGCTCTGTTACTAACTGGTTGTGAAATCTTGGGAAAGTCACTTGATCTTGTTTTGTTCCCTTCGCACCTTATTTTTGTCTTTTCTAGGATCTTTGTGGCAGGGATAAATGTTTAGTATGTATTTGTACAGTGCCTAGCACAATGGGGCCCTGATCTTGGTTGGCACTTTTAAGTGCTATAATACAATATAATCATTGTCCAAGGCCCAGAGCCATTATCTTTTCTCAGGACAAGTTACCTCTTCCAAGATGACTGCTGGGAGATGAAGATGCAAGAATGGAGTTCATAAGCCATCCTAAAGAGCCTGAGATCATTTTAATCATTTTCATAATTCAGTGCTGTCTCTTGATTTTTCCAGAGGAATATTATCAAAATCATTTATTATCTTACCCATACTCACTATAGCAAGAAGTAGGCAAGCAAACAAAGCACAAATTCAACTAATCACTGTTTAAATCCAGTAACAGAAACAAATTAAACAGAAAGGCTACGTCTAGACTGGCACCTAATTCCGGAAAAGTCATGCAAAGCAGGTAAGTCAGAATAGGGAAATCCACAGGGGATTTAAATATCCCCGCGGGATTTAAATAAACATGTCCGCCGCTTTTTTTCCTACTTTTCCCCAAGCCGGAAAAAAGCGTCTAGACTGGCACGATCCTCCGGAATAAAGCCCTTTTCCGGAGGATCGCGCCAGTCTAGATGCTTTTTTCCGACTTTTCCCCAAGCCGGAAAAAAAGCGGCCGACATGTTTATTTAAATCCCACGGGGGATATTTAAATCCCCCGCGGATTTCCCTATTCTGACTTACCTGCTTTGCATGACTCAGCATGTGTGTTCTCAGGTTAGAAGCTAAGGATTTAAATTCATTCTTGCATTCTTTTTCTAGCTCACTTCATTAAATAATCCACAGAAACACCTACTTATGTGATTTGACTGGCTGGAGACTAAACCATTTACACAAACCAGGAGGTTAATTAAAATGGCATTTTACATCTATGAGATGCTCAATGAAAGCTGTAACAGTTAAAAGAAATCTCTATTCAGATGATAAAGTGGGTAAAGGAATACAAACTTGTACTCAATTATCAGTTTCATTAGTTGAAATTCTTCCCCACACCAGGCCTATTCACCTATACACTCTGTCCTGAATGTGAATTTGGAACATGTTTAACAAATAGAATATGATCTGTGCAAGTGTTGGAATAGGACGACAGGGATAGTCCTGGCTGCAGGAGAAGTAGAGGAGTTGTTTTTTAAGAAAACACAGTTCTAATTCCTTAATCTAAGAGCAAGAGTAGTAAGAGTTTAATCATTACATTCTGTGATTTAGGAACTCCTGTCCACCTTTGACTATCTCATCTGACCCTATTGCTCTAAACCTTGTTCTTCCTTGCCGCATCCCCTCCATAACTACCAACTGTCTCCTAGCTGGTGTGACAATAACAGGTCTACTCTTATGGGGCTGGAGAGGATGGGGTGGAAGTGACCTTGAACAGCACCAGCAGGAACAGAGACGTGTAAAGCCATTTGTGCTTTATGCCATTGGGTTGTAGCCAAGGCCCCATTTGCTGCAACTAATATATAGTATTCCTAAAAAGTTCTCTGTCTCAAACTTGAATAAGTGCCTTTCAGTAGATAGCTGACATTTAACAGGCAAGCATCTTAAGTGTCTTACTAAAACAAAGTGAAGTACTTCACTGCGATAGGTAAAGACTTACTCCAAATCCTCAAATTCCACAAATCCTTTTAAAAATGAATATTCATGAATTATCTTAGTGATTTTGGCTAGTAGTCTGCAGAGCAGCAGGAGTAATGTGCATCGTTAATGAAGAAGTGGACTTTATAATGCATCATGCATAATGCTTGCTAGCCCATTACTGTCAGATGCCACATTTGCTTCCATAATGGTCTGTGCAATACAGTAATTCCTGTTCTTGTTATGCGGATGCTGTGCCATGTCTAGACAACAGCAAAGTCAGAAATTAAGAAGGCTAATGCACAGTTCAGAGCTGGAGTCCCGGATTGCCATCTCACCCCATGGTGTTCCTATATTGAAACAATATTAAACTCTCTTGCATGAACATCGTGCAAGTCGATGGGAGTTGGGTATCAAATTACTCTTTGAAATTCTCCCTTTTTCTATACTGGCCGTGGAGTGGTGACCCTTTGGTGTGACCCCAGCTACCCAACCCAGAGGATAGCTGATTGCGACTGTTTCTATCTGTAGTGCCCCTCATTGCCATCAGCCTTGTTTTGGTGGTCTCCAAATTGGCTTACCGAAAGGGGGCTACCTTTGAAGAAAGAAACAGCTGGGGCAGGCAATGAGGCTTGATATATTAGTGATATGAGAAAGAGCTAGCAGCTGTTCTCCAAAACTATTAGAAGCTTCCAGTTTGTACAGGTGTGCAATTCAAGATATTAATTTTGATCTATGTTGGGCCTGGCTCCCTTAGAATCTGTCTCTTTCTTCATGTACTACCCTAGCAGCTGAGAGGATGTTTTGCTAACAACCAATAAGTAGAATGGTGTGGGATTTGAAGGGAAGGCTCTGGGGAGCTCTCAGCTCTGGAATTCTCTTCCTTCAGTTGTCTCAGA